GCATAACGCTTCCAGTGAATTTAACACTCATCGGGACTCAAATAATGATACTAAATTGTATAATCTCTACATGTCAACCACTACGCCACATTGTCCCGAGTGCGCTAGTCACAGGACAGATGTGAATTACAGAGAAGGCCAGATGTCACATTATGCGGTAGGATTGTTAATGATACAATCTTATATTTGCTATAGCAATCTACAACGTCAATTATTTTCAAAAGAGAGGTAGTTTGGTAACTTCATTCATATATTTCGGTTACTGAGACTGTTTATTTGAAATGCCAAAAATTATAGAGAGAAGCATAAACACATTGGTGTGATCTAATCTAATTTTATCAATTTGCTTGTGTCTTCAGGGCGAACTAGATTAATGCAGCTTGTCCGGTGTCTTCTGAAAAATAAATCGTGATAATTTCTAGCATCGGAACTTGGATTTAAAAGATTCGCTTTTTCATTCATAGCATCAAAATACAAGTTTAAATATAAGACTTGTTCAATGAATGGCCACTATAACAGGGAAGTAACTAGTTCGTTAAGCCACTTATTTAAATCCAAAAGCCTATACGCAAATCAAGCATACATAGATCCATTAATGAAGCCAGATATCCACAAGGTCCAAGATCACAATATACTCGAATACATTAATAATACGCACATGGTGACGCTAAGCTTGTAACAGACCTACCTTCGCTGATAAATGCATTCGGATTGCAAGCCAAAAAGCGGCGCGAAAAGTGATGCAATACACGTTCGCGCTCCTGAGTTTCACCAGTCAGGCTGAACCTGACCAGAAAGGTTCGCAGAGCGGTGTCAACTCGCTGATCTGTGAATTCGAAGAAGCCAGCAAATTCCTCACCAACTAATTGACTAAAGTCATTTCTGGATGGTTAAAAGAAGTATTTGGAAAAGAAAAGAATCGAAATCGCAGATTTTGAACAGATAAATCAAGTTAGGAAGAAGTGTATGATAATTATATACAAAATCGCAAGGGATAAACTAACTTCTGAGAAATGAAGAGAAGCTGGGCTTCGAAGAATCCCCTAATTCAATGAATCTGACGTATTTTTCATTTAGTTTGAGAAGTTGGGTCGAAAGGATACCTCACCAGATATCGCAGGAGGGTTGCTTTGGATTTGTGTCTGTTGTATTGTGCGAGGGAAACCTCGGCTTACCGTCCTATGACTCCGATGACTCAGTGCTGAGCTTTTGTCATACATGTGACAGACATCGTCAGAGCCAAAAACAATTATTCACCAAAAAATCACCAAAAAAACAATAAACCGAGATCCCAATTACTTATTATACCTCACATTGCGATTTTAATGAGGTATTCCATTATTTGGTTGGCTGACTTATGCTTGTGTTCTGCATGCGTGTAAGTGGGTCAAGCTGAAGCAGGCAGAGGAGCGGATGTGGTCACAACTTTTGTATACGTAAATAAACTAGAGTATAATCCAGTAGTACTAGGTCTTGTTACAGCTTCGCGGATGTGTTTGCGTGTGTATGCAACAACCCCAAGTTGGTTAACAAGTTTAGGTTCAAAAACAGGCTCCAGCTTAGTCTATTAGTCGAAGGGATTCGTAGATTGGCCTCACTGAATATCGCAGTAGGGTTGCCTTGGAGTTTTGTCTGCTGAAATGTGCGAAGAAAACCTCGGCTCACCGTCATACGACCCCGATGACTCTGTGCTGAGCTTTCGTCCGTCATGTGAAGGACATCGTCAGAGCCAAGCAACCCCAAATTGGTTGAAAATTTTAGGTTCAAAAACAAGCTCCAGTTTAGTTTCGTCTTCTCTTCTTACTCAGTGGGTCTTCTTGTTCCCTTTCCTTCTCTCTCTCTCATTCTATTTAGAAGCCAGAGATTGTTCTTACTTAGTTTCCAACATTCGTTCCTCTTATTCAGGAGGCACTTTGTTTTATTAATTTCAATTGACTATCTGATCTTCCGTTTAACTGTGAACTTCTCATATTCGCAAAACGTTGGGATTTAGACCCCTCTATTTGGTGTCCTGAAGCGACCACATGCTCAGCAACTTCCGATTTCTGAATCCATAAACATATGCAGGCGGTTATATGTTCTGATATCCTTTTATTTATGGGCCGATAAGTCTCCCCCCCTAAACACTACCACGTGAGCAC